CGGCGGCCAACGCGAAGGCCGGCCTGCCTGCTGTGGCCCCCCAGCTGGCGGGCAGGCAGGCAGGCAGGCAGGCAGGCAAGCAAGCAGGCGGGGCGGCCAGGTGGGCGGCCTGGCGGCCCCCACCGGGGCGAGGCGAGGCGAGGTGAGGCCTGGGCCTAGGCCAGGGACAGGGCCAAAAAAAGAAAGCCGGGGGCCGCGCACCGGGGCAGCCCCAGCACCGAAAAAAGCGCGCACCACGCCCAGCCAGCCAGCCGGCAGAACAGATCGAGGAAGGAAGGAAGCGAAGCAGACCTGGGCCTGCTTAGCGGGCAGGAGGGCGGGGTCGAGGCACACAACCCGGAGGCAGGCTCCGCACCAGTTAGGCGGGCAGCGCCAGATGAGCCAACCGACGGCCGGGCGTACCGGTACGGTACCTGGTGGATCCCTCCCCACATCCGCACGGCCTCCTGGTCGAGTCGAGATCGTCGCAACGCCGTCCGTGGGTCGACAGTTTGTCGCCGTCGTCGCCGTCGTCTCCATCTGCCGTATGCCTGGGCGTCACAATGACGGCCCCGATCGCGCTGGTCGCCGTCGCCGCCTGATCGGAAGAGGGCAAGCTAGAAGCGATGGCACGATAGGACGACGATCAAAGAGACCGGCAGCATCTCTGTGGCGAGCCTTTCGGAGCGCCGACAGCAGCAGCAGCAGCAGCAGCAGCAGCAGCAGCAGCAGCAGCAGCAGCAGATGAGCCTGCCTGCTTGCTTGCGTCTCTCTCTACATGTGGCCTTTTTTCGCTGGTGGCAGCGCCTCACCCATCCTCATGTGTGCGTGTTCTGCATGGTTTGACGTCGAGCTTCGGTGCAGCGGCGCGGCGTGGCTGCACCCATCCCCGGCTCCATGAGCGACGAGAAGAGCAGGCAGAGAGGGGCGAGATGGCCGACCAGCGAAACCAGAGAACAAGGTGGGCCCGAACCTCCGAGCGAACGCCTTGTTGCAAGCATGGTTGCCAGCTTGCCAGCCAGCTGGTTGGCCAACGAAGCCAGCCTAGCCTGCCTTTGAGGTGTTTCCACCGCGGCCATCTAGGGCCACGTTCAAGGAAGACCGGGGACCGACGACATGAAACTTGGCCTCACCCCGTCGCTTGGGCCTCTGGCATCCGGGCTGCCCGCCGCGCTTCGGATCAGGGCCCGCCGAGGCCGACAGACAGAGGGCACCGTGCCGTGGTTGCTTTGCTGCTTGTCCTCTTCTGCCGATCCGACGGTTGGTCGATCGGGCTGGTCGGCGACAGGAAAGGGTTCTGTCCCGAGCGAGCGAGAAGAGCTAGAGAGAAAGCGTCACGTCGACGATATCATGCTGCTCGCCGTCGCCGCTGCTGTCGACGCTTTGATGCTGCATGCTGCTGTTCGGTGGGCTCTGCAGGCGAGTCGCCGCTACCCGCTGCCCTGTCCACATGGCCAGGCAGGCTACCATGCCAGCTGGGGGCAGCTGCGTGGCTGCCGCACGGGAAAGGAAAACGGGCAGCGGGGGAGCCAAAGCCACGCGGGTTGCGGGCAAGGGCCTGCTCGGTGCTCCGTGCTCAACCGGGCTGTTGGACCCTGAACCCGACATCTCGAGCCTTGGCGCTCTCCGAGTCTCGACCCGACCACCATCCATCCTACCTTGCTCCTTCCGGGCTGCATCGCTCTCCTCCCCGTCTTCATCTCTCTCGCCAGCGTCGGCTTGCTCATTTTCAGGCACGCACACCTTAGCTTGCGACTTCCTCGCGCTGACGCACTCTTGGTCGGTGCGGTGCGGCGTAGGTTCGGAAACGATCCGATCGGCCCGAATCCGGCGTCGGGGAGGGCCCGTCTCGCGGACCAGCCAGTCACCTTCGCTCCACCCGCCAGACCGCCGCTGCTGTCGGCTGAATCGCGACGATGCTCCAGTCATCTCCCTCGACTGCTCCTCACTCGCAACTCGTTCAAAAGTATCGATCTCAGCGCCGAGAGGCTGCCGAGCGACACCCACAGCTGGACCTCGGGTCGCGGCCGCCATCGCCGTCGCCGACGCACGCGGGCCGATCCAACGGCTCAACGGGGCTGAGCAAGCGAGTTCGGCATCACCCGCGCTGGGCCTCACTGCACCTCGATCCGCAGCCATCGTCGTCCGAGTCGCTGGGGCCGTCTGCCAACCCGACGACGACCGACGACGGCCGACGCGCGTTTGGGCCCAACTTCATCCCCGAGGAGCAGACGCTGCGCAACGACTACGCGCAGCGCTTTGTCGACACGGGCGCGGGCGAGCTGCCGGGCAACGCGGTGCGCAACCCGCACGATGCGAGCCGCTTTGACGAGTACCCCAAGCTCAAGCGCCTCGTCCAGATAAAGGACTCGCTCGTCACGCTCGCCGCCCACCCACCGACCTACCTCTGCGCAGACCTGCGCCAGTCGCTCGCTCCCTACACTGGCACAGGCGCTCGACGAGGACGCCAGCAGCAGGGCGGTCATCCTGTCACAACCTCCGCCCCTGCCAGCGGGTCCGCCACGCCACAAGGCGCACCGGCCCATGTGATGCCGCCATCGGGCCAGCAGCCAGGACCCTCGCCGAACCCTGCTGCGCCGCGCGACTTCCACCTGGGCACCTTGATGCCGGTCAAGTACGATGTCGTGCTCATCGACCCGCCTCTGGCGTCGTACGAGTGGGAGGGCGTACCCTCGCCCAGCGGCGGCGTCGCAACGTGGACCTGGGACGAGATCGCGGCGCTGCCCGTGCCCCAGGTAGCGGCCAAGGAGAGCTTCGTCTTCCTCTGGGTCGGCTCGGGCGCCGGCGACGGCCTCGAGAGGGGCAGGGAGGTGCTGTCGCGCTGGGGCTACCGGCGGTGCGAGGACATCGTGTGGGTGCGGACCAACGCGCACCAACGCGGCAGGGATGACGACGGCGGCGACGACGACGACAGCAGCGGCCCGCAGCAACCATCGACGAGCTCTGCGCTGACGCGGTGCGTGCAGCACTGCCTGATGGGCATCCGGGGCACGGTGCGCCGGTCGACGGACACGCGGTTCGTGCACTGCAACGTCGACACCGACGTGATCCTGTGGCCCGGCGAGGCGGCGGGCGAGGAGCTGGACATGACGAGCAAGCCGCCAGAGATGTACAGGCTGATCGAGAACTTCTGCCTGGGGACGCGGCGGCTGGAGCTGTTCGGGCGCAATCGCAACCTGCGGCGCGGCTGGCTGACGGTGGGGCTCGAGGTGGGTCCGGGCCAGCCTGGATGGCCAGCCGACGGCCGCCTGCCGCTGCCGGCAGCCACCCTGTCGTTCCTCGAAGAGCAGCGGAGTCAGCGCCGGCTGCCCGAGGATGGACCTGCGGCCGAGGAGGAGCGGGCGCACCTCGATCGGCTGGCGGTGCCCGTCGAGTACGACAAGCTGAGCTACGACGTCAACTTTGGCGTGGATCGGCCGGGATGCGAGCTGCGCGACCGGATCAACCTGGTGCCCTTCTCGGACGAGGGCGAGGCGCTGCGGCCCAAGAGCCCGCCGCCACGAGGCACGGGGGGCGCAGGGAACAGCGGAGGGCCGCCTCGAGGCGGAACGGCGATGCCGGGCATGGCAGGCGGCTACCTGGCCCACAGCGGCGGGCTGCTGAGCATGCCGAGCGGACTGAGCGCCAGCCCTGCGCTACGGCTGCCTGGCTACCAGCACGATGCGTTTGTCGGCGGCGGCGGCGCAGCGGATCCAAGCATGGGCATGATGGTGGCGGGCGCCGGTGGCGTCTACGGCCGGCCGATGGGGACGGGCGGCGGAGCTGGGCTGTCTGGACTGGGAGCGGGTGGACCGCGGACGGTGAGCGTACCGAGCGGCAGCGACACGCTGAGCGGGCCGCAGGCGAGCGTGCTCAAGGCCAAGGCGGCGGCGGCGGCGGCGGCCCAGGCGCATGCCAAGGGCCCCAATGGCTCGAGATAGCGGTGGCCGCCCCTTTCAGACTGCAACAGATTGCCACGCCACCATGTATGGTGCGACGCAGTGTCCCGTTGACCCAGGGCCGAGTGCGAGTGAGGGCGGACCCAGCGTGGCGGGACCCTAGGGGCGACGAGGCCTGGCCGGGCCAGTGCGGCGACTTGGAGGCTTGGCGGGAGTCGGGAGTCGAGCTCGGAGGGAAGCGGGCGGCGCGGCGTCGGGAAATTTGGCGGCCCCCGCCACGCCCTCTTTTTTGGATTTCTTCGCGAGCTTTGGGTGGGCAGGCGGTCGGGCCTGCCCTCTGGGAGCTGCCTCTCTCTCTATGAGCTCAGCCGGCCGCTCTCCTCTGTTGCTTCTCCACCTCATCCAAAACCCCCCCTTCTTCTTGCCCACGTCGCTTCCTCTGACGACGACGGCTATACCCACTCATCACCATGCTACGTCGACTGACGCTCGCAGCATCGGCATCAGCGTCGGCAACGGCCTCGGCCTCGGCGTCCAGGAGCGCAGTCACAGCATCAGCCCTCTTGACCGCCTCGCCCGCCACCCTCCCCGCCCGCCACAGGCTCACGATCATAGCACCGGCAGCATCACCGACGCACGCACATGCATTCGCCACCAGCTGCCGCGTATCTGATGCGGGAGAAGCGCGCGGCCCCCATTCCGGCCCTCGCAGCTCAGGCCCGCGCCAAGCAGGCGGCCAGCAGCGCCACTCGAACCCCAACAGCAACAGAGGCGGATCGTCCTACGGGAACAGAGGCGGTTCGTCCACTGGGAATCAGCAGCGGCATGGAGGCGGCGGCGGCGGCGTCGGCGGAGGGCATCGAGATGGACAACGTGGCGGCGGCCATCGGTCAGATAACCAAAAGTTCGGCAGCAGAGACTCGGGTGGCGGCGGTGGTGGCGGCTCGCGCAACCCTGGGGCACCTCGACAGTCGCCCCGCGCACCCAACGACCGGCGCAACCAGCAACGTGGACCGCCAGTGCCCCGACCACGAGATTGGAGCCGCGACCGCTTCGCTTTAATACCCAACTTCGACGCACCACCACCAGTAGGCAGGAACGGCGACGGCGCCGACGCCGCCATCCACGGCGAGCCCGACTCTGCATCAACCGCCGGGCGGGACGATGCAGCAGTTGACGACGCCGAAGGCGCAGCAGCCGGATCTCCCTCTGAGCTGCGCAGGCCCGGCGCCAAGGACGACGGCCGGAGCAGGGGCGACCGCGTCTCGCGCAAAAAGGGAGACCGAGGTTCGCTGCTCCGCGATCAGGACGATCAGCAGCGCGGCGGGCCCCGGCCGAAAGATCGAGAGCGGGAAAAGGGAGCAAAGCGACCCGCCGCTGCGTCGTCCTCCAAGCCCAAGGCGGCCGCTCCGGCTTCCCGACCGCCGCGCGAAGTCTTCCTGCCGAGCGTGGTGACCGTGTCGAACCTGGCGCGCCAGATGAACGTCAAGATGCGCTCGCTGCAGCGCGTCATGACCGAGAGCGGCATGACCGACACCCGCCCGGACCTGATCCTCGCCTTTGCCGACGCAGAGATGCTGGCGGCCGAGTTTAATCTGACGGCCGTCGTCAACGAGGAGGCCGCATTCGACATCCTCCCGCGCGACCCCGCCTCTCCCGACGTCTACGCCACGCTGCCCCTCCGGCCGCCCGTGGTGACCATCATGGGGCACGTCGACCACGGCAAGACGACGCTGCTCGACAAGCTGCGCAGCACGGCCGTTGCAGCGGGCGAGGCGGGCGGCATCACCCAGCACATTGGCGCGTTTAGCGTGCCCGTCAAGCGCGCCGCGGGCGGGAGCGATGCAGCCGCCGCCGCCGCTGCCGACGCCGTGCAGACCGTCACTTTCCTCGACACGCCCGGCCACGCCGCGTTTACCGCGATGCGATCGCGCGGCGCGGCCGTGACCGACATTGTGGTCCTCGTCGTCGCCGCCGACGACGGTGTGATGCCGCAGACGCGCGAGGTCATCGACCTGGTCCAGTCGCTTTCGTCGTCCTCGTCCTCGTCGCCTGGCAGCGGCGGCAGCGGGGCCGGCAACATGTCTTCGCGGCGGCAGCAGGGCAGCGTGCAGATGGTCGTTGCGCTGACCAAGGTCGACAAGCCCGAGTCGGACGCAGAGCGGGTCAAGCGCGAGCTGCTGTCTGCGGGCGTCGAGCTCGAGGAGCTGGGCGGCGATATCCCGTGTGTCGAGGTGTCGGGCAAGACGGGCGATGGCCTCGACGAGCTCGAAGAGACGCTGGCGGCGCTGGCCGAGATGGCCGACCTGCGCGCCGAGCGCGACGGCCAGCCGGACGGCTACGTGATCGAGTCCAAGGTGGAAAAGGCGCGCGGCAACGTGGCCACGGTGCTCGTCAAGCGCGGCTGCGTGCGCGTGGGCGAGCTGCTGGTGGCGGGCACGGCGTGGTGCAAGGTGCGCCAGATCCTCGACTCGCAGAACAAGCCGCTCAAGGCGGCCTACCCGGGCGACCCGGTCGTCGTGACCGGGTGGCGCGACCTGGCGCAGGCGGGCGAGGAGGTCGTGGGCGCCGCCAGCGAGGCCGACATCAAGCGCGCCGTCGAGAACCGCAAGCGCCGCCTCGAGCGCCTGGCCATGATGAAGGACGTCGAGGTCATCAACGAGCAGCGCAGGGCGCGCGCCGACGAGGTCGAGGAAAAGGCGCGGCGCGAGTTCGAGGAGCGCAAGCGTAGGCGCGAGGAGCGCATGGCCGCCAGCCTCGGCATCGACAGCGTCCTTGCCGAGTCGGCACCCGGCAGCAGCGGCGGCAGCGACGAGGCGGCGGCGTCGTCCAAGTCACAGGCCGATGGCGCCCAGGACGAGGCTGCCGCTGTCGACGCAGACGGCGACGAAAAGGCAGCCGACTACAAGACGCTCAACCTGATTGTCAAGGCCGACTTCACGGGCACCGTCGAGGCCGTGGTGGGGGCGATTTCGTCGATCGGCACGTCCGAGGCGGGCGTCAAGATTATCGCGTCGGGCGTGGGCCCGGCGACCGAGGGCGACGTGGCCAAGGCGGCGGCGCTGGGCGGCCACGTTATCTGCTTCAACGTCGACATCCCCAAGCCCATTTCGGCGCTGGCGGCGCGCAGCCACCCGCCCGTGGTGCTGCACAGCGACAGCGTCATCTACCGATTGATGGACTACGTCTCTTCGCAGGTCGCCGCGCTGCTGCCGCCCGAGTTTGAGCAGCGCGTCACGGGCGAGGCCGTCGTATCGCAGCTCTTCAACTTTTCCATCTCGTCCAAGGTGACGCGCACCGTCGCCGGTTGCAAAGTCACCAACGGCACCGTCAGTCGCTCCAACATGGTGCGTATCCTCCGCGGCGGCGGCGGCGGCGCTGGCGGCGATGGGGAGGAGGGGGAGAGGAAGGAGATCTGGAGGGGTAGGCTGGACCAGATGAAGCATGGCAAGAAGGACGTCGTCGAGATGCGCAAGGGTACCGAGTGCGGCCTCAGCTTTGTCGGATTCCAGGGCTTCAAGGAGGGCGATGTCGTGCAGAGCTTCTACGAGGTCGAGGTGCCCCGCAAGCTCTAGCACAGTTGGGCCTGCCGGTTCCCGCCCTGCCGCCCCTTTTTTCTCGTTGCTCCGAGGGCAATAGACATGTGCATGCACCCACCCTCACGACGGCGGCGGCGGCGGCGGCGACGGGCGTGGTTGTGCATACCCCGCCGTGTCCTCTGTCTTTCGAACTTGGTGCGCGAGGGGTCGTGCTCGTGTGTCGGGCCGATGCGGCGTGCGGCGTGCGGCGTGCGGTCGCGGCCCCGTGCTGTGTTCTAGATTCCCACCTAAAGGATTCATCTACCGACGCACCTCGGCCGTCCGCACCTCACCCGCTCCACCAACGACGTCATCCTGCAATCCGCCGCCACCGCCGCCGCCGCCGCTCCGATCCAACCTCGTCTGGCTCCTTCCCCTATCCCTATCCGCATCCGCATCCCGATCCGCATCCTGGCTCTTATCCCGGATGAAGACCTCGAGCACCCTCTCGATGGGACCGCGCGGTACGCCATCTCGATGATGGTCGTGCGACGCGTCCCGTGCGCCGCTGCGGTTGCGGCTCCGGTTGAACGGCAACGGCGACAGCGACGATGCACCCCGCGTCTGCGACGGTGGGCGAGGACTGTAGGCGTACTTGCGCGCCGGCGCCACCAGGACGGGCGGCGATCCGCCCTGTTCGGCTAGACAGGGCGAAAAGAACCTGTCGAGGCGGGCGGGGTTTTCGTTTGCCAAGAAAAAGGGACGAGGAAATGGGTCAGGTCGTCTGCTACTGCTGCTGCTGCTGCTGCACCAGCTTTCGCCGACCGAGGTGACGCCGACAAACTCACATGGTGCCCGTGACGGCCTTCCAGCCCGTGACGACGAACAGGCCGAGCCAGAGGAGGGCGACAATGGCGCTGAGCACGGTGCCGAGCACGAGAAAGGCGCGGCTGTCGAGCATGCGGCCGAGCTGCGTCGTGGCCGTGGCAAACGTGCCGAGCGGGAACGTGTAGCCCCACCAGCCCATGTTGAAGGGGACAAAGCTGGCCGCCGTCATGTCGGCAATGGTGGCCACGGCCAATACGAGCCACACGAGGCCGACGCCCCAGATGACGAGGGCGACGAGAATTGACGCGCCCTGCATCGCGTACGACACCAGGTGCGCCGACTCGCTATCCAGCCCGCGCCCCGGCGCGCCACCAGAGCCGCCGAGCGCAAACGACCCGGTGAGGCGCGTAATCTCGACCAGGTCCGCCGCCAGCTGCAGCAGCCCGAACGCGCCCTGCCCGCACGGCCCGAGCGGCAGAAAGGCCGATACGATCATGGCCGCCGGCGGGATCTTGTAGATGGCCAGCCGCGCATAGTAGAGCGTCATGAGCATCATCGACAGCGGCACGCCCGTGCCCCACAGGATGTAGCTCGCCACGACGACGACGCGCGCCTCGTCGACCTGGCCCGCGCCAATGAGCGCCGACGCCACCGTCCCGCCCGTGGCGGCGGCCACGACGGTCGTGACGACGGGCAGGAACCAGACGCCCGAGATGTTGTCAAACGACTGCGAGTGGCGAGTGAACTGCACAAAGGGAATGCCGATGGCGATGACGATGGCCACGGCCGAGTCGATCCACCACAGCACGTGGGCCGCCGTCAGCCAGCCCGAACCCCACGCCGGCACCAGGCTGTAGACCATCATGTTGATGATGGTCGTGAAGCCCATGGGGAACGTGCCGAGGAAGAGGGACTGGGTCGGGTGGTAGAGCATCGTCCAGAACATGCTGGGCCAGATGACGTAGCGTGCGCTGGTCGCATAGCGGGGCCGGTGCGCGCGGACGAGAGGAGGGCGTGCACCCGCATCAGCACGAGTGTTCAGCGCTCGTCCACGAGGTGCCTTGGCGTTCGGGTCTCGACTCACATGCTGAGCGCAAGGATGAGGGCGAACAGGACGACGTTGAGCGCAAAGATGACGTTGGAGATGGTCTCCAGTCCGTCGAACTGGTAGGGCAGCTGGTGGAGCAGGATGGCCGTGATGCCCGTGCCCATGCTGGAAGAGATGGGTGTCGGAGGTGCACGGGAGGGTTGAGCTCGGTCTTTCCACTGGGCTGGGCGCGAGGACGCCCGCTGCGGGCACGACTCACTTGACTGCAAACCAGCTCGGCGTGGTGTGCAGGATCCTCCTCCGCAGCTCCTTTCTGAACCGGGTCCGCCAATCTTCTCTTGCTTCGCCTTGCTCTCCAGGTGGAACCGCTGTGGCAGCGGAGGCGGCGGCGGCGGCGGCGGCGGTGGGGACAGCGTTGGCAAAGTGCGAGTGAGCGGTCGAAGCTGACGCCGAGCTGGTCGACTCCTGATGCTGCTTTTCGTCGCACTCGGGCGGTGTCGGCACACGGCTGCGAGCCGGGGTGCCGCCTTCGAGCGCGCGCATGGCTGCGTTGTGGCTGTCGTCGTGGTAGTGCGTCAGCTGCACCATGGCAGGCAGGCAGGCAGAGAGGCAGGCGAGCCAGCCGCGCGGGCGGTGATGTCTGGGAAGAGGGGGAAGGACGCAAAGCCCAGGTGGCCGCTTAGAATGGAGCGTAGTGGCGCGAGGAGATGGACGACGACGGCGGCGGCGGCGGGGATGATGGTGATGGTGATGGTGGACCGGCAAGAAGACCAACGTCTTCGGATCGACCCCGACCACCACTTTCGGATTCGGCCCATGGCTGGCCGGCCACCCCGTCGGCAGGCCTGCATGTCAAACGACACGCGGGCGGGCGGCTGTTCGGCCTCCACCTCGGGACAGGCCAGGCAAGCACGGGATTTTTAGAGCTCGTCGAGGCCGGCCTGTCTGCCACGGCACCCTTGGACGAAATTGCGTAAACCGCGGCGAAATCACATCATCTGCCAGAGATGCCTCCCTCTCTCAAGTCGGCCTCGCCGCCGCGTCGCCACCACCACCAACACCAACACCTGGGCCAAGCGTCCGCCCGGCTTCAGAACATCATGGGGTCCTGGTGCAGCCAGTCGGCAAACAGCGGCTGCTCGTGGCTTGGCGCATCGGCCTGCAGCACGCTCAGCATGCTGTTCCAGTCCCGCACGTCGAGCAAAAAGTCGTCGAGCGTGTCGCCCTGCTGCGGCATCGCGGCGGCCATCGTCGCCGCTGTCGCCGCCGTCGTCGCGCCCATACCCGTGGCGGGCATAGCGACTGCGTCCGTCGGCGCCGCCGCCGCTGTCATGCCGCTTGCAGCGCCATCGGGCGCCGTCGTGTCCGCGTTCGAGGACTGGCTCAAGTTGGGGACGGCCGCTGCGGCCAGCGTGTCGAGCGACGACGTGTCGGTGCCCTGCTCGGCGCCAACAGCCGAAGCGGCCGCCAATACTGTCCCACCTCCCTCGACGTGGGTGCTGCGACCGCCCTCTGCCTGCGGCCGATCCGCCGAGCTGCGCTTCGACAGCGTGGCAACCACGTTCTTGATGTGGTGCACCGCCTCCGCGTACGAGCAGCTGGCGCGCACCGCGCTCCGAGCCTGATGGACGTGCGGTGCGATTCGAGGCTCGAGAAAGGCCAGCATCCGCGAACACATCGTCGACAGCACGCTCAGCTCCCGGTTGGCCGTGTTGTCGGTAGAGCGCGCCTCGAGCAGGTCCACGTTGGCGTACGTCACCTCTGTCGGCATGGGTCGCGGAGAGCGGCGGAGCGGGGTCCAGGTCAGCACAGTATCACTGCGCGATGAGGGAAAGCAGGAAGAACACTTACCAGCGATGAAGTCAATCTTTTCCTTGGTTTCCTCGCGGCAGAGGCAGTGGCCCGCGCCGGCATCGAGGAGCACGCCGAAACCGAGGATGATGGCCGAGCTAAACTGCGAGCGGGCGAAGGCAGAACAGACCGGGGATGGCAAGCGGAAATGCCATATCGTCAGCGTCGCCTGTCGATCCGCGCTCGGGTCAGGAAGGTCGCGGATGCGGCCCTCGTACTCACAGCAGCGTAGGCAGCTCCATAGTGTTGGGTCTGTCATCAGTCCCATCATCAGGGAAGTCCAGCTTGCTCGCGGTCAGTCGACCTTCCGCGCTGTGGCAGCCCCTGCCCGTCTCCCGCACTTCAGGCCCCACTCTGCACGGCGACTCACCTGCTCGTCGGGCGTCAGTTCCCTCGCCATCGTCTTGCGCATGCGCACCTCGGCCAGCGCGCTCTCGACGCAGAGCCTCCAGCTGCGCGGGTACGGGTGCTGCGGGTGCCGCTCGTCGATCCAGTGCAAAAAGTAGGGGCGGTGGAGAAGGATGCGGTAGAAGTGGAACATGCCCGCAAACATGTGGCGATAGAAGGCGAGGTGCTCAAAGTGTCGATCCAGGGAGCGGTCCGGCTGCGTGCCTGAAAGAAACTGGAAGTACGACGGCAGACGCTGAGCCGCCTCGACCAGCGACTGGTCCAGCGCCAGCACCTGCTTGTAGCTCTCTTCCCTCGACGCCGTCCGATCCGTCGTCGTGTAGAAGCGCACGATGCCCTGCAGGTGCCTGCTCGGCGGGCCGGGAAATTAGGACCGGTCAGAGGCCGAGGCGTGAAGTCGACAGGCGTCACCTTCCAGGAACGCCGGGCGGTGCTCACGGGATGAAAATCTTGCGGCCGAGGACGAACTCTCGAAAGGCGAAATCGAGATCCTGCATGTCGCCGTGGCAAGGTCCGCTGGTGCGCTCTGGGAGCACCGAGAGCGGCCTCCCAAGGGCAAGACACCACTCGCTCTCTGCAGGCAGCGATAGCAGCGAGGGGGCGGAGATGCAGGCAATGAGACGCAGTGAGCGACGGCGGCTCGACAGCTTCGCCCTCCTCCGATGCAACATATCGATCCCTCGCGCAAGAGATCACCCACCGCACTGGAGGATGTGCGACCAAAGGACGCGCCCCTCGGATCGTTCGCGGTCGCTCGAATTGGCCGAGTGTTCGCTGCAGCGGGCCGGGGCAACGCAGGTAAGGCCAGGCGTCAGCGCTGTGTCATGCCGGGCTGGAGCGTGGCCGGCGTGTCCCATCAAAGTGCTCACGAATGGAGGCCGAGGTCGATGGCGTGGCGGATCCAGCCGCCCATGGCGTGCCAGCTGGTCCGCGGCGCCCGGACGAGGTCCAAGTAGCGGATGTGGCAGGCATAGGTCCAGCACGAGTCCATGTTGGTCACGGCCAGGTTCTCGCACGCCGTCAGGCACTGCCGGCACAAGGGTGCAGAGGAGTCAGGACGACGCTGGTCAGCTCTCTTCCAGTCTCCCGAGGCGCAGATGCCGCGTTTACCTTTTTCGACGCCCAGAAGAAGTTGTTGGACTCCTCTGGCACCAGCTGAAAGTCGGGAGAGCGCAGCGAGCCCAGGGCGAGGATGCCGAGCAGCAGGCTGATGAAGGGCAGCTGCTGGATGGCCGCAGAGCCTTGGGGCGCGCTGGCGGCGTAGAGGAGCTCAATCTTGCGCCGCGCCGGAGCCTCGGAGATTTTGTAGCGCGACCAGTTCTGCGGGCGGGGCGTGGTCGAGCGAGGGTACGACGGAGGATCAGTGATGTCCCACCCCGCACCGGACGTGTATCGTCTGCCATGCGGCGGTTGGGGCTGACTCACAAAGCGGCGAAAGAAGATGTCGACGTACTCCTGGCATCGCTGCCGGTCGGGGAGGCTGCGGTGGATGGCGGCGATGTCGTCCTTTGGGATGGGGATGCCGCCCAGGCTGGTCCCGTTCGGCCTGGTCAGGGCCGCTGCGGCCGAAAAGGAAGCGGAAAACGACGCGGCGCCCTCGACGGAAGAGAGGGCGCGCGGTGCAAAGCTCGACTGGCCGCTGGTGCCGCCGTCGCCGAGAAAGAAGCCAAACGAGTTGCGTATCGACTCGATGGCAGAGGTGCCCAGCCAGCCCACCTCGGCGTCGACGTAGCCCTGCACGTCCTGGCGCAGCCCGCTCATCGACGGCTGCTCCGAGTCGGAGCCGTCCGAATGGCCCAGCGCAGCCGACACGGAACGCTGCCGCCGCTGCACCGAGGTCGATCGCGAATGTCGACCTGCTGGAGAGCGCGCCAAGGACGGGCTGGGCCGGTGCGAGGGCCCCGGATCGATGAAGCGCTCCAGCACGCTCTCGAGGCGGTGCACCTTGTCGTGCAGCGCGGCCAGCTGGCGGTCCTTGTCGTTGGAAAAGGTCGGGACATCCGTTGGTTCTGCAGGGGCGGGAAAGCGGTCGGCCCGAATCGGCGCTGCTCCCTGCGCGATGGGGTCCGGTCGTCGGCTGCGAGCTGCTGACCGCCGCGTTTCGGAAACCAGCCGTCGGGCTGGCAGCGCCTTGCGATCCGGCGACGTCGATAAGGGCGGCGGCGGCGGCAGGCTGGCGTCGCTGCTGACCGAGGTGCGACTTCTAGACCGCGTCGGGCGCGCGAGCGAAGGCGTGGGGATGTGGCAGAGGTCCTCGGTCCCGCGCTTGCGGCAGTGGTTGCACGGCTGCGTCCGATCGCACTTTTGCTTCCTCCGGACTGTCGGTCAGACGACGAGCCCAGATACGAGCCTCCAAGGCGGTTCGGAGCGATCAGAGAGGGGTCCCTTCGCTGACTGCCTCCGCTGCCGTCTGCGCCCGGTGCTCACTCACAGCATTCGGTGCACGAGTACTGCTTCTTGGCCCGCTTGGCCGGTCGCTCCTCAATCATCGTCGACGACGACGACATTCGAGCAGCGAGGATGGCGACATTGACGATTGAGTGTAGAGAAGCAGCACGCCGATAAGTGATACGAGACGGCCGACAAAGGATGCAGGTGGGGTCTGCTGGGCGGGTCGATGGGGAGAAGGGACCGACGACGACGATGGTGGTCACTCTGATGGTTCGGTCTTTCCGACGTCGGCCGCCCCGAGGCGCCAGACAAAGTGGAGAAGGGCAGGCTGGCCAGACGGGGCCAGGTCCACGTGGCGCGGCGTCGGCCTTTTCTTTCCGTTGCTCGGCGCCAAAGCCGCCGCTTCGGCCTTGTCCCTAGGCCTCGTCATCCATCCCCGCCCGCCCAGCTGACTCCTGGCTGACCCGCCGTGCAGTATGTTCACCCCTCTCATCTTGTTGTATGTGTAGGCCTTCGTCGGCTCAGCACCCAGCAGAGAAGGGACCGCTTTCCCGGCGTTGCAGCTCGGGTCACGTCGAGAGCGAGCAGCGGCGAGTCACAACTCGCAAGACGCTCAAAGGGATGCTGCCGGCCCTGCTCTGCTGCTGCTTCGACGTCGACCAACGAGGAGCGACGAGTTGCCCGCCCATTGTTCAGACGATCATCCGGAGGTCATCCCTTGGTACCGTTACGGCTCGACAGGACTGCCTTGCACCGATCCATGCCCGCCTTGGTGAGACGCAAACCCATCGAACGTAACACGCAGGCGGGCGAGCAGGACAAAAGCAAGGCGCGACCGAGAGTCGGCCAGGTCGGGACGCGGGCCGGCTCTCGCTGGTTGCCTGCCCACTCGAGCGTCGACTTGCTTCGGCCTTTTGGGGTCCCTGCCTGCCCGAGTGCAAATGCCCGACGCCCGACGCCAGACGAGGCATGAAAGCCGACGTCAAGCAGAGCCGCAGGCAAGCAAGGGTCGTCCTCGCCCTCGCCCTCGCCCTCGCCCTCGCCCTCGTCCTCGCCTTCCGCCCTACCCGCTGCGGATGTTCCTCGGACAGCGAACCTAGGTTGAGCCGCCGCCGCCGCCGCCGCCGCCATTGAGAGGTGACCCTTACGTTCCTCGGTCACCGAACCAGGGGACTTACCAGACTGCAAAAAGGGTCTTTGCTTCTTCACCCCTCGGACGCTGCCGGCGGCCGTATAAAGGCCTGTCGAGGGCCTTTGGGGCGGTATCGGTGGTTTCCAAGGTACGATCCACCCCCCTTCTTCTTCCACCTTGACTGAGCGACTTCGTGATCTGCTTCGAGCTAGCCAATCTGACATAGCCCAGCTTGGCCGATTTCGCACCTTCTCACGCTCGCGACATGGAAGATGCCGAGAAGCGGATTGCTTCCGATGCGGCGGCTGCACTGCCCCTCGGCCGTTCCGACCGGGCGACGGCGGATCGAGCCGACACAGCAGCGACGACGACAGAGGATGAGGCACCACCGTCGGCGGCGCCCGACGGCGGCGTGCAGGCCTGGCTATTCGTCGTTGCCGGCTGGCTGATCGAGTTGATGGTGTGGGGCGTCGCCTACGCCGCGGGTACGCTGCAAGATTACCACGAGCACGATCCTGCCTCGCCCTTCTACGGCAGCAGCGTCACGGCGCTCAGCTCGGTGGGGACGCTGGTCATCGCCTGCCAGCACCTCGTCCCCCTCCTCACCTACGGCTTTATATCGGCGCGCCCTCACCTCGTCAAACCCGTGGCCCTCGCGTGCGTCGTCGCCAGCGCCCTCTGCCTCGTCGTCGCCAGCTTCGCCACCAGCATCGGCCTCCTCATCCTCTTCCAGGGCGTCCTGTTCGGCCTGGTCGGCGGCTTCCTCTTCATTCCCGTCATCATGTGGCTGCCTCAGTGGTTCGACCGCCGCCGCGGCCTCGCCACGGGCATGTTCCTCTGCGGCAGCGGCATCGGCGGCATCGTCTTCCCCCTCGTCTTCAACGCCCTCCTCACCCGCACCGGCTTCCGCTGGACCCTAAGGATCTGGGCACTCCTCCATCTGGTCCTCGCCGGCGCTGCCGTCTCCCTCATCCGACCGAGGATCCAGCCGGCGCGCAGCAAGGGCCCTCTGCGGCTGCGCTGCCTGCTGCCTCCCAGCGTCCGCTTCGTCCTCGACCGCCGCTTCATCTTCTTCGTGAGTCCGGGGCAGCCTCCGTTCAGCACCGTACTCCGCGTGTGCGTTTCCTCACCAGCCCTTCATCCCCTCCTCTCTCTGGTATTGCACCGCCGCCACGCAGGTCGCCATCATCTTCTTCCAGTCTTTCGGGTGGTACTCAGCTTCGCTCTACATCTCGCCCTACACGTCCTCGCACGGCCTGGGCTCCGGATCAGCGACGGCGGTGCTGGCCACCTTCAACGCGTTGGCCACGGTGGGCTACCTGGCGACGGGCAGCGTCGTGGACCGCATCGCCTACCCGCTCGTCATCGCCGTCTCGATGGCAGTGTGCGGGCTGGCCGCAGTGCTGGTGCTCGGATTTGCCGAGTCCCTCGCCCTCATCATGGTGTTTGCCATCATCTTTGGCTTTGCCGGCGGCGGCTTCAGCTGCCACATCACGCCCATGTCGCGCTCCCTCTCGGAGCGGCGCAGCGTGCCCTTCACGCTGGCCTTTTTCACCATCATGGCCTTTCGCGCCGTCGCCGTCGTGGCGGGACCGCTGATCGCCTCGGCGCTGTATCCGGGCGACGACGCCTTTGTCGGGCAAGCGGGAAAACGGACGGGGTCAGTGGGATACGGACGAGGCGGCTACGTTGGCATGGTCGTCTTCATCGGGATAGCCTCGTTCCTCACGGCCGCGTCGGCACTGCTGCTCTTCTGGCAGGAGCGCAGGGACAGAAGGCAGGTGGCGCCCATAAAGGGGACAGAGACGCCGAGCTCGACATCCAGTTGTCGACGATGAGACTGCACGAACCAAATGCAAGCATCTTGCGAAGATGCAAACGCCTGAGGATCGAGGTCTGTGTCTGGAACACCCTTGCAGCCGGCGGGGCAGTTGAAACAGGAGGCCCCAGCGCGGTCACAAGAAGTGCCCGATTCAACGCTCGCTGGATATCGGGGGCCAAGGTCAGGCGGACTCTGCCTTTCGGCTTTTTCGATAGGCTGGGGTCCAGGCGCGCCTTGCCCTTCCTTCCCACCCACCATGGCCCATTGAGATTCCGATCCGCCACCCACACCTACGCCGCCTCGTGCTTGCAAACGATCGCATGCTCGAGGTCACCTTCGGCAGTGGCAGAAGCACCCGCTTGCCTCCGTAGCATTCCACCTGCACAGACTCACTTGACCCTTCAACCTCGCGTCTCCACTTCCGAACACCCCTGCCAAGTCGACCTGCAGATGTCGAGCTCGTCCATGGATCCACCCGACGCGCCGAGCGCCGCTCTGAGGCGGCTCTCGCTCCGCGAAGATCGGGATGCCACCGTCATGTCAGACCCTCCCGACAGCGACGGCCAGATGAGACAGCTGCGAGACCTTGCCACTCAACACCTGGAAAAGGCCACGACAGAAGTGCAGACCCGTATCAATATCCGACGTTTGCTGATCAATCTGTCCACCGATGCTGAACTCCTCGCACTCGCCGAGAAAGGGCTGCGCACCAGCATACGCGGATGGGTCGACGGCTGCCTGGGCCTGGACGAGCGTGTGCATCTGCCCTCCTGGCTGACGGGCCCGCTGAAATCGGATGGCCTTCAGCACCTGCTCGACGATCCCGGGGCGCTTACTAGGATCATCGGATCTGAACCCACCCTCACTTCCGACACGTTGACCGAGGAAGCCACCGTGGCGCTGCTGCACCGAACGCTGATTGCTGGGGCCTCTCGTGAGTGCGCCCATGCCCGCTTCCGCCGTGTGCTGCCTTGCCTGCGGTGTGCCTGAGCACAAGACTCGTTCTTTCCCTGCTCAGACGCCTCACCCCCGCGTCCGCGCCCTGGTGTCGGCTTGGTGCGGCTCGACTTCGAAGACGAGTTCTATGGCGAGGCCGACGATGACCTCTGCTACCACATTGACACTGTCCTGTCGCTCTACGACGAGAGGCTACACTACGGACGCATCGTCCCCGTCATCCAGTCCTCGGGGTCGGGCAAGTCCCGCACAGTCGACCAGGTCCTCAAGCGCCGCCGCCTCGGCATGCTGCTTTGTTTCCGCATCACAAAGGGCGACACGGACGCGATCCCGGCCCGAGACGAAGCTGCGGCAGATCTACTCGTCTCCGGCGGAAAGCTGCCATACCCGGTCCGCGACATAGATGTCGCCGACCGCCTCGTCGTGCTGGCCTGGTTTGAGGCCTTCGCCCACCACATGGCAGAGGAGATCAAGGCTTACTGCAGCGACTTGGACTCCACTTCCGTCCGCAGCGAGACGGTCGTCAGGGACTTTTACGACCACCTGAACAACACCGAGCTGCCGACAAGTCCAATCAGTGCCGGTTCGCAAGCCTCGTCGGACAACGCACCCCGCCGACAAGGGCTGCTCGCGACAGTGGCCGAACGCTACCACGAAAATCTGGTAAAGCTTAGACCCGGCAATACCGAGGGCGCTAACGCCTTCCAAGGGGGTCCCTGCGTGCAGGCATTCCGATCGCTGCAAGCCGCCGTGATCCAGGCTTACTCGATCGGGGAAGGCCGACCCAACGGAGTTTTCATCCTGGCGCTCGACGAGGCCGGCACGCTGGGTGATCTGCTCAGCCACATCCGGAGGCTGTGGCACGCGATGGGAGAGTCCCAACACGCCAATGCCGACCGACTTGTCCTCCTTTTGCTCGACACCAACTCGAGCATCCACGCTCTCGTCGGCGAAGGAGCCACGCTCCGGTCCACCCGTCTCCACAACAAGGAGCTCTCGCTGCTGCCAATGTTCAACAAGCTCCCCTTCGACGTTGCGCTGAGCGCACTCGATCCGCAGGCCCACGATCCCCACGGCAAGACGTGGTCGGCGCTGTTGGAACAGCTTGCCCTGATGGGCCGCCCGCTGCTCAACAACAGGCATTTCTGGCACCACATGGATCGCGACCATGGGTTCACGGGCCTCAAACCGTTTGTCGGCCGCGTCTCGCTCTTCAAAGTCAAGGGAAAGCTGCTGTCCGAGCGCAAACACGTCTGGCTGCCCGATCTCCAGTCTGACAAGGAGCTTCCTGCGGAGCAGTCGGCAACGTACATTGACAAGTACATGGCTGCCCTGTGCCAGCGTCTTCCTCTGCTCTTCATCGGTGCTCAGGGCAGCGTCGATCTGAGCGAATTCCTGCAGCGGCAGATCAGCTCGCACTTGCGCACCATCGCTGGCCTCGACCTCGACACGTCGTTCATCATCACCGGCACCCCTTCTGAGCCGATCCTGAGCATCGCTGCAAGCGACCTGTTCCGGCAGCAGGTCCAGCAGTCTGGCGGTGTCGTCAAGGTCTGGCGCGACGCGCTCTGGGCGATGCGGCACAGCCGGATCTCGTACGGCCTGTCTACAGGCGCCGACGGCGAAGAGGTTGCACGGATACTGCTTGCCATGGCAACGGACTTTGCCGCCGTGGAACGCATCCGGCGGACAAGCCTCGCGAATCCCGGCTCCGATTCGTTCACGTTGCAGAGCTTGTGGGAGGAGAAAGGCACGTTGGATCCTCTGCCGGTCTGGGACTGGCTCGCCGAGCTCTTTGGCGACCCACGTGCGATTCCCGACGTGAGCGGGGCACAAGGCGGATATCGAGGGTCCCTGGCGAGCGGCGAGCGGGCGGCATCGGGCTTTGAGTCGTTCGCGCGGTCAGCACGGATCTCGTTTACGCACTTCGTCAAGATGCCACATACGTTCGACAAGGTTTCGAAAAAGCAGCTGGCCGAATGGTTCGTCGAGCACGTCGCCATCTGCGGCGCCGACACCCAGCCGAGCTGGGACCTGCTGATCCCCATCTACGTCGACGAGGGATGGAAGGGGGACGCCACGGTCTTCGATGTCTCCAAAATGTCATATATCGTCGTTCAGGTCAGAAATCGTCGGAACGCAGTGGGGCAGGGTCAGACATTCATCGTGCCGCCCGCGGTGTATCACCGCGGCCCCAACAGCGACGACAGTGGCAAGACGGAGGATGGCCACCACCTCGTCTCGGACTTGGAGTACATCTCGCTCTTCATCCAGCTCAAAGCGAAACCACCGGAGGACGCCGCGCCCGTCCGCTACACTCTCAAGGGCCGCGCGCCTGTCCGGGCCCACGATGTGCAAGCCATTAGCCTCGACGGCGGCTTTGCCACGATCCTCTCCAAACTGGGCGACCAGGGCGCAGCCGACCTGCGCGCGCTCCTCGGCGTCTTCAAGGACACCAACGTCTTTGAGAGCGCCCTCGACTGGCAAGCGCGTCGCAGGTCGCTCTGCGACGCCCAGCTGTCCCTCTACGCGCGCTCCCGGCAAAGATCCGGAGACGAGCACTACCCCATCCTCTGAGGCCGCCAGCACTGTGTGAGCGACAAGGCAAGGCGATCGCGGGGCGATGCGGTAGGACGCGTCTGCAGGCTCACAGACGAGGTGCGACTTGGAAAAGGGCACGAGAGGTGCGGCGCCGAGATGAGAGGAACAGGCCCTGCAGCGGGCGATGAGGATGGGAGAGGAGAGAATAGGAAGAGGGATAGGCTGGCAGGGTCGGCGACGGGGAGCGGAGGTGAAGCTCGTATATACCCTCTTCGTGTCTGCCAACACGGGTGGCAAAGGTCTCTGCTCTGATGCCGTGTCGACGGACGTCAGACCATCTCTAGATCAGATAACATCGGCTCCATCCGCTCGCCGTCTCGGTCGGCCCGTGAGGTAGGGAGCCAGGACCGGCGCATTTGCCGGGCGCGGCGTTGGCGTTGCAACGGCTCCGAAGTTCGACGGGGGCGGGGGCTGAACCTTGTCCGTCTCGGCAGGACGGAGGGTCAAACTAACACGTACGACCGCACGGAAAGCTCCCGCGGCTGGCCAGGCTGGCGGCAGATGGGAGTAGGCCGGGACGACGGACGGATGTGAATCTGCGATGGATGATGATGCATGCGGCGCCACCGCCCTGCGGTCGGGGAGATCCCGGTCTGAACTGCTGGCGTGGGAGCCGGGTTGCGGTACGCCGTCTGGCGTTGGTCTGGATCCGATCATGACAGGTGGACGACCCTCACAGAGACACGCGCACACGCAACGGGCCATATATACGACAATCGATGGATTTCCAGCCTAGTCCTTCTGCTCGTCGCCGTCATCGCCGTCGTCGTCGTCGTCCTGTGCGTAGAGCGTCTTTGGCTGGGTCTCCTTCCAGACCTTTGTGTAGATGGGGTCCTTTTCGGCCTGCTCTGCGTACTTGAGGAGCGCCTCGCGCGGATCCTGGCTGCGGGTATCGTCGGCGGTGCGGTAGAGGTTCTGCACGACGTGCTGCATGGCTGCCGCGCCGATGCGTCCACCCTTGCCCTTGCCCTCCATCGGACGCTGGGGCATGCGGCTGGCGACGGGGTCTGCGCGCATCTTTTCGAGCCTGCGTCGCTTGGCCGCGTTGGACTGCGGGAGGGTGGCGTCTGCGGGCACGTCGACGGGCGAGAGGTCGACGTTGAACGGGTTGCGCTGTCGCGGTTTCCTGCCGACGGCGAGGAGGGCGCCGTTGACGGATGCCTCGGGCGAGTAAAAGACGTGGATGTTGCCGGCGCGCGTCGTGGCAAAGAGCTGGTTGAGGCGCGTGTGCCAGTGCAGCCGCAGCACCGACGACGGCGAGATCGAGTAGCGCCGCACCTCGTCGAGGTTGGGCAGCGACAGGACGCAGATGGCGCCGCCCGTGGTCGTGTCGCGCGTCGCCCCTGCGCCGTCGTCGTCCGCGTCGTCGTCGTCGTTGTTGTTGTTGTTGCTGTTGTTGTTCTTGCTGCCTCGAGATTCGCCAGCGAGAGGTACGGCGGCGACGCCGGCGAGGACCGACTTTTCGTCTGGGCTGAATACGACGTCGGTCATGGCGGTGCTGGGCAGCCCTGCGCGGACGGCGGCGGGGGAGCGGAACATGCGCCGGTCCCACAGCTTGACGGTCTCGTCTCCGCCGCGGGTGACGAGCGTGTTTGAGTCGCGGCTGAAGGTGATGCAGCTGATGCCGCAGCCGCTTTCGTGGGCTCGCTCGACGGTGCCGCGGGGCTTGGAGGCGAGGTTGGCACGGAGGTCCCACCAGTGCAGTGCGCCGTCGAGTCCCGCTGCGGCGAGGATGCGGCCCTCTTGGGCGTAGCGGGCGGCCGTGACCTTTGTGCGGGTGCCGCGCTCGCGGCTCTTGACGACGATGACGTCGCGCTGTCCCGCGGCGAGGTCGTCGAGGTGCCAGAAGCGCACGGTGCTGTCCGACGAGGCCGTCATGAACCTGCCGCGCTCGCTCGGATCCCACGCGCCCGCCGTCAGCTCCGAGACGTGGCCCTTTGTCTGGCGCATGTCGCGCAGGTACGGGTCGCCCTTTTTGCACGTGCCCAGCTCGGTGCCGTCGCGGTCATACACCTTGGCCGCCGCCGTGGCGCTGATGCAGAGCAGATGCTCGCCGCCGGCGTGCGGCGAGAAGGCGACGTCGTTGATCGGGTAGCTGCCCGCGGGCTCAAAGCTGCGGAAGGGCTTGAGCGTCGAGTCCATGCCGCCAAAGTCCCACAGCTTGAGGTCGTAGTCGAACGAGCCCGTGGCGATGCGCGCTCCTCCGGGGTCGAGGGCGAGGGCCGAGACGCTCTTGGAGTGAGACTCGAGCACCGCCTCGTGCGACATGGGCGGCAGCTTGATATCGGCGAGGGCCGACGCGGCGGAACCGGGCCGACCCTGAGTGTCGTCGTCGTCCGAGTCGTCGTCATCGGAATCGCCTCCGAGCTCGAGCTGGGCATTGAGCGCGCGGTCGGCTGCGGTGAGGCCATTCTCGTCGACCTCGTCGTCGGCGGCAGGCTCCGAGGCCGTTTTCGGCGCATCCGGCGGGGGCGACGAGGGTGCGGGCCGCTTGTTGCCCAGCGTGGCTCCGACGACGCTGGAGCTGGTGGATGCGGACGGCAGGGCCGGGGCTGCTGGCGGTTGCTCTGGCTTGGGCTTGGGCTTGGGCGCCGCCTTTTTGCTCTTGCCGAAGCTCATGGGCATCATGGCCCGCAGCGCGTCTTCGTCCATGTTGTGTGCGGTTGGGCGGTCGGGAGGGAAGGCGACGATAGCGGAGGGGCCGAGACAGGGGGCAGCGAGGAGGCTCGTCGTCGTCGTCGTCGTCGTCGTCGTCGTCGTCGTCGGATGAGCCGAGAGCCAAGTTAAGCATGGCCAGGCCCCGCCGCCGCTTGACCCCCCCAAAACTCCACACGGCGGCTCGGAAGACGGAAGACGGCGCCAGACAAAGCTGCCGCCGAGAAGAAATGGCCGGCCCCACAAAGACCTGGCTCGCTCGCCCTGCAGAGGGGCACCTGCGCAGCCAGCAGCGACTGCACAGCGCAGCTCTGCCAGGCAGGCAGACGACAGACGACAGACGACAGACGACAGACGACAGACGACAACGCCGCTGGCTTGGCTCTTGGCCGCCCACCACCACCACCTCCCCTGCCACCACCGCCGCCGCCGCCCCGCATGTCGTCCTCGTCGTCGTCGGCGATGCTCGTGCCGCCCAGCGGGCACCTCGATCAAGCGCTCGCCACCATCCGCCAGGCCGCCCTCGACTTTGTCACCCCGGACCCGCAAGCCAGGGCCCGCGGCGAGGCCACCTTCCTCGCCCTCCGACACTCGGACCGCGCACTCGAGTACGCCTGCTACGCACTCCAGCATGTCGAAGCCGCAGACCCGCTCGTCCTCTTCCAGTCCCTCAACGCCCTCCTCTACGTCCTCCCCTCGCTGCCGCTGCACAGTGCCGCCGACGGCCGCGCCTCGCTGGCCCAGCTGCGCGACTTTGTCCTCTCGTTTGCCGTCTCGCGCGGCCCGCACGCCGCCTCGTCATGGCCCCAGTACCTCCGTTCCCGCGCCCACCAGACCGCCATGGCCGTCGAGAAGCGCCTTCTCGGCCTCGAACTCGCCCACTGCGCGAGCGCAAACGACTCAAACGCCGCCCAAAACGTCGTCCAGGCGCACGTCGCCCTCCTCACCTCGCGCCTCGCCGAGCTTCTCACGCTCCCGTCGCCGTGGCCCTCCGACCCGTCCGAATCCGCGGCTGCGTCGATCCGACTCGCCGCCGGTCTCGGCCTGATTAGGGCCCTCGTCGACGAGTTTGTCCTCACTCCGCCCTCCGACGCCGCTGCCGCTGCAGAAAACAAGGACCGCGGCAAGGCCAAGGCAGTCGAACCGGGCACCCCCGTCGGCCTCAGCGTCCTCGAGCATCGGTGGTGCAAGGCCGTCATCCAGGTGAGCTGTCCCGCGCCGCCTGCCGACCGCCCGACCGCTTGCTGACCAGCTTCCTCTCGCACTGACGGCGCCGCCTCGGCCCCCCGCAGAACCACGTGCTGCCCGCCCTGATGAGCGCCACCTTCCAGCTCCTCTACGGCGTCATTTCGACCGACCAGGACAAGGCGGCGGCGTGGCGGATGGACCTCTTCCCCCAGGCCGTCTCGGCCGTCGAAAAGCTGCTGGACTGGAGCTTCCTCCTCTCGGACCCCTTTGCCAACTTTGGCAGCCCCATCTTGCCCGACCAGCTCGACGATGCCGATGACCAAACCGCTGCCGCCAACGCCTCGGGCGGCGACAATGGCGGCCGCCAGTACATCCAGGCGCGCAAGCTGCCCTCGCACTTTGTCGACGTCCTCATGCCCACCGACGTCGTGTCGCTGCTCGCAACCGCCTACGGCTTCGGCCTGGCCGCGTCGGCCTCGACTCCGAACCGCGACCTCTCCTTTTCTGTCCATCGCCTCCGACAGTGCCTGCTGCTGGCGTTCAGCTATGTGCCCGCCGAGCTCGGCGTCGCTCCGGCCACGACCGACGTCGTCGTGCAGCGCGTCAGGCACCTCTCGGCGACGCTCCAGTCGCTCGTCCAGGAGGAATGCGGCAGCCCGTCGTCGGCGCTGCTCTCGGCGCGCGGCAATGCGATGCTCTTCCTCGCCCAGGCCTTTCAGATCGTCATCAACGCCAACTCCGTCCGCCTGCTGGCCGAGGCGCTCGGGCCGGGCGGCGGGGCCGACGGCGATGCCTCAGGCACCGTCGCCTTCCTCGCGGCCCTGTCGCAGTTGGGCAGGTCGATCTTTGGCCTCGCCTTCCACCGCCCGCGCGACACCGACGAGGAAGACGACCTGGCCGTCCTGGCCGAGGACACGACCGACACGCTGCTGAGCTGCTGGCAGGTGCTGCTCGGCGCCCTCTACCGCGAGGCCGACGACGGGGCGGGCGGCGGCAAGCAGCCCTCTGCGCAGCTCCAAATCCTCTGGCAGGCGGTCCACGGCAGCATCCGCGACGAGGTCTTCCACCCGTACGTGACCGGCAGGCTGCAGGCGGCCGCCATGCCGTCCGACGGCGATGGCGACGATGGCGACGCCTCCGAGCACGGCGAGGCCGCCGCCAAGGACCGCGACATCTATTCGGACCAGCTCATCACCATCGCCGGCCTGGGCAGGCTCTCGGCTGCCGACAACCTCCGCACGCTGCACCAGCTGGCGCAGCCGCTCTGCCAGATGCTCTCGGCCGTCGCCCAGGGCCAGGCGGCGCCCGGCCCGCAGGAGCTCGAAAAGGTGTGGGAGCAGGCCCACTGGCTTCTGCTGATTGCCGCCCACCTCGTGGCCGACGAGGCCAAGGGCGAGACGGCCGAGGTGCCATCGGCCATTGCCGGCAGCCAGGAGCCCGACGACCCTGCCGTGGGCCTCATTGTCGAGCTCGGTTTGAACCTGGTGCAGACGCTGTCGAGCCACGGCGCGCGGTCGGCGCAGGCGACGAGCCCGCAGGTGACCGAGACGCTGCTGTGGTTTGTCGCGCGATGGACGTCGACCTACCTGCTGATCGACGACCACTCTGGCTTCCCGACCAACGCGGCTATCCAGCGCACGTTTTCGGGCGACGCCGGTCGCAAGGTGCTCGCGTTCCTGCTGCAGCGGCTGCGCGAGAACCTCGAGCTGTGGATGTCCGACTCGGACGTGCTGGTGCAGCTGGCGGCCGTCGTCTCGTCCTTCACCCGCTCGAGCGGCATCATGCTCCACCTGCTCCAGCTGCCCGAGATGGAGAGCCTCGTGTCGGCCATCGTGTCCGGCCTGGACGCGCTGCCGGCCAACACTCACGGCCCGCTGGTGAGCGCCGTGGTAAGCTGCATCTACAGTGGCGCGTCGTACGTCGGCCAGCATTCGGGTCGCACCGCCGAGTCGTACTTTGCCCAGATCACGGCGTCGATCGAGGCGCGCTTCGGCTCGCTGCTGCAGCGTGCCGACTTTGCGGCCGTCGCCCAGCGCTCCGACGTCATCGCCGCGGTCCAGACGTCGCTCGACATGCTCGACGGCCTGGCCGCCAGCGTGCAGCCCAACTCGGCCGACGCCGTCTACGGCTTCCTGTCCAAGTTCTTTCCGGCTTTCAGCCACCTCTGTCGCGTGTACGAGACGAGGCCCGAGGTATCGCTGTCGGTCGTCAAGGTGCTCCACACGCTCGCCGTCGCCCTCGAGCTCGACTTTGGCGCCGAGCCGTACATGGTGACGGGCCTCAACGCCGTCACCTGGCAGGTGCTCGAGGCGCTCAAGGGCAAGACGCACCACAGCCTCATGGTCAGCGACGGCGGATCGCCGCTCGAAGACGAGGTGCCGTACGAGGGCCTCTGCCTGGCCCTCGAGCTGCTCAACGAGCTCACCGGATCCGCTCGCGCGG